TAGGGAAAAATTCTGGACAGAAAAGTAAATTCTTCCCCAATTGTCAGATTACCCACAAAGCTACATATGAAAGAATTTCATAGGTGCACAGAACTCAGGTGCACAGAACTCAGGAGGGACTCTGTTTCCTTCTGGCCACAGCAGTCAGATGCACTCCTTCTAGCAATGTCTTCACTGTGACGTTTCCTTGTAATTCAGATCCTGCCAGAGTCGTCGTAAGGTCATAACACTGTGTTGTCTTTTAACTCATTTTCTCCGGTAGGAAAAGGAGGAGTTGATTGAAGAATGGCAGCCAGAACCTCTTGTTCCTCCTGTCTCAAAAGACCATCCTGCTCTCAATTACAACATTATTTCAGGGTAAGTCGGTTTTGCTACTTGAGGACTTGTATTGGGTTTCCTGGGGGCATATTTGCCAAAGGATATAGCGGCTTATACAGTATTTTCTTTTTTAACTGCAGCAAAATATTCACAAATTTCTGCCATGTGATAATTGCTTTAGTTTCCAATATAAAAACCTCTGTTAGGGATGCATTTTTTTTTTAACTCCTCAGTTTGGACATTAACAATTTTCCCATTTTTCTTTAAAAAAAAAAAAAAAACCACTTTTTTCAGACTAATGCATGTACATGGTAACATTTTAAATGGTCAAACACACTTAAAATGAAAAGTGGCAGATTTTTGTTTTTTGTGGTTTTTAGATCTGTTGTAGGCTACTGTCATAACTAGATACTATAGAAGTGTGCTTACACTACTGTTTCTTGAGGAGGAGGGGGCACACATGCACCTGTCGTGAATTTCAAGGCTCCAGATTCAGGATTTGAACTGTGGTGGGCCATGTGGAAGTTGAGCACCTTAACCACCATCCCATCTGCTAGCCCTTCACTACTGTTTTTTGATTCATCACCTGTAGACACTGTTAACCTACAATGTTAACTGTGGAACCTGAGCTCACTTAGATCCCTTTCCTCTTCGTTTCCAATGTTTGATCTGTTGAGTTGCCAGGAAAATCATGACTCATTTTTGCATAGAAAAACAGAAAGATACACCATGACTTTCCTGACAACCTGATATTTTTTTTATTTAGTTCTTCTGTTGGTTATCTTTGCTTTGTCATATGCATTTTTTATAATTAAATATTTAAAATATATAGAAAATATCAGACACCTTTGTCCAGTACCCAGAATTAAAAAGCATTAACACTGTGCTGTCTTTGCTTCAGGTCTGTTTTTCAAAAAGAAACATAAGAAATACAGCTTAAGAAATTTCTTCCCATCTGTACTTTACTCTTGTCTCCTATACAAGAGAACTACTGTTTGAAAATTGGTAAACAATGTCTCAGCTTATGTTTATAATTCTAACACATACACCTTTCGCCAGGAAAATATTTAGTATTTTGTTTGAAAACATGCAATGTAGTGTGTCCCGAGTGTGTTCTTCCACTTCAGATCTGGTCTAGGAGAGGCTTTTATTCTCACATCTGTAGTTTCTTTCTTTTTTTTTTTCCTCCTTTTTTTCTTTTGAGAGAGAGGTTTTCTATAGGGCATGTGAGCTTGCCAGAGAGACAGAAAGCAAGAAATCACCCCTCAGGGGGAATGGTCACACTGCAATCCCTTCTCCATTCTCCTTTCATGATTTTGGGCGTGCATGTACAGCTGCCCCAAATCCCGAGAGGAGAACGGAGAAGGGTCTGGTACTCAAACCGCAGTTGACTGCATGGGAGTCCCGTGACGGAACCATTACGCCATCTACTGGTCTCTCACATCTGTAGTTTCTTTAGTCTTGAAAAGTTTGACATATTGTGAAATCTAACTTTCTGATCTCTTATCTTGTGCTTTGGTCTTAAGAAATCTCCTCCCCCGAAGGTCTAACTTGCCTGTTTTTATGGTCAGTGGTCCCAGTTTACTAGTTGGACAATCCATTCTTTACCTGCTGACTGGAAATTCCCTTTGGTATGCTGGCTTCCCTTGTAAAGGGTCTGACCGACTTTAACCTCTGTTCTTTTGGTATATCCTTGTCTCGGTATTACCGCTGTATAATGACCCTGACAAGAATGAGTCCATCTACCTCCCTATTCTAAATCGACTCTCCACCATGAGCTTACATTTTGCTGACCAAATTGGGCACAAAAATGTGTTTGGTTTTTTATTGAAAATGCATTGAATTTATGGATTAATTTGGAGAGTTGGTCCCTTGTTGATACTGATCTTGGCGCCCCTGTACATAATATATCACTTGTGTTCTTGGGTCTCATTTCCTACTGTGAAGTTTTAGCATTTTCTGCACAAAGACTTTCCTTATTTGTTTTTCCGTACTTTTGATTTTGAAATATTTCTGGACTTACGGGCAGATGTACAAAATAATACAGAAATATGCCTTGTACCCTTCACTCTATTTTCCCCAGTGGTAACGTCTTGAGTAACTCCAGGACAGTATTACACTCAGGAAATTGTGTTCCATATCTTTTTATAGGTTCATCTTTGGGTACCAGAGATTTTCGTTTTCTGTCGTGAGCTGTTTTTTTTCCCTTCCCATCCTTGTTGTCATGTCCTGGCTAGGACACCTTCCGTTCCAATATTGAACAGGAGGAGGATGGTGGCTTTCATGTACCTGATGGCTTTTAAGCAGTAACCTGCGTTGACTTACAGGCATTCTTCTTTCCTAGTTTGCCAAAGGAAATATTGATAGTTTAAAAATCGAAGTACTGGGGCCAAGAGGTTGCTTTGTGATTAAAGGTGTTGGATTCTCACATGGCTGACTGTGGTTCGGGTCCCAGACCTGGCAGCTTGCTTTTTCGCTTTCCCTTTCTCTCTCTCTCTCTCTCTTTCTCTATCTCTCTCTGGTCAAATTTCAAAAAAATAACAACAAAAGGAATTAAATAAGTAATTTTTAAGAAACCTTTTAAAATAAGTAAAACTAAAAATCAGAGTACAATGCTCATCCTTATCATGAGATTACATCATGGTAAACCCATCATAAGTTGAAAATTCTGGAAGTCAGAGATGCATCTAATATGGCCAACCTGTTTAATGTCATAGCTTAGCCTACCATACCTTACCTTACACATGCTCCTAACACCTGGGCCAGCCAACAGTGGGGCAGAATAATCTAACCAAATCCTGTCTTCTCATGTGTGTTGAATATCGCATATAATCTGTTGAATACCGAAAATGAAAAACAGAAGAACTGATGGTATGGGTATTCAAGCTGAGTTTCTACTGAATTTGCATTGATCTTGGTAAAGCCAAAAAATTCTAAGTCAAACCATGTCAAGTTTGGGACCATCTGTTATTACATCTTATAAAATACTTTGAATACTTGTTGAAATGATCATGATTTTTCTCCTTTAATCAATTGCTATATTCAGTTTTACTGTTACTTTTTTAAAATTTCTATGAGAAAAACTGCAGTCTACCATGCCACCCTTCCTTGCCCCAGATTCCTCACTCTCTAGAAGAAATTGCTCTTTCTGGAAGTTATAGTTGGTTATTTTACAAAAGCATCAGTCCCTTCTTCATGGACCTGTTCTGTCTTCATATTTTGGACCCTCTTCCCTCCCCAGCTTCCTGAGGTTTCCTCTCTCACAGGCTGGTCCTCCTGCATCTGTTTGGCCTGCCGACACTCACTCGGGCAGGGTTGCAGTTTTGACTGGGAAAGGTTTTCTTTTCTTACCTTTGATTCTCTGAGCCTTGCTTGTGTAGATGCCTTTCAGGATCCGTGAGGTTGTGGGATTTTTTTTTTTTTTTTTTTAATAAGAGTTCTGCCTTAGAGCACATGTGCTTAACAGAGAGATAGAAGGACAGAAACAGTGAGAGGGCAAGTGAGAAATCACCCCCAAGGGGGATAGTCAAGCTGTAATCCCTCCTCCTCCATTCTGTTCCCAGAATTTTGAGCATGCATGCACACATGTCCAGCGTGACTTTTAAGCCACTGTGTCGGGGACTCTTAACTGGTCAGCATATGGGAATCCAGTGACGTAACCACTACACCATCTGCAGGCCACAACCTGGGCATATTTTAAAAGAATTTTTATTTTACTTATTTATTATTATTATTATTATTTAATTTCCTATAGGACTTGTGCGCTCACCAGAGAGAGACAGAGGGAGGGAGGGAGGGAAAGTAAGAAAGCAAGCCACCAGGCCTGGGATTTGAACCATGGTCGGCCATGTGGGAGTCCAGAGCCCTAACCTTAACCTGCTGGCCCCTACCTGAGCATTCTTGTTTTTTTCATCTTGTTGACCCCTCCGTAATCAGGAAAGACTTAGGAAACCTAGGGAACCCTGAGAAGGAGAAAGCTGACCCCTGGATTCAGAATCAGTGGTCCAAGAGGTAAGCATCACTAGATATGAAAAAGAAGCCTTAGGGTCCGGCAGGTGGCGTGGTGGTTGAGGTCACTGGACTCCCACATGGCCTGCCG